AAACATGCAATCAGGTTGCATTGATAATTACCAGTGATTGGAATGCAAAAGTTGGAAACAAAGAATAAGGATGGGTAGTTGGAAAATATGACCTTGGTGATAGAAACGATGCCGGAGATCGCATGATAGAAAGTTTGCAAGACCAATGACTTCCTCAGTGCAGATACCTTTTTTTACCAACATAAATGGCAACTGTACACGTGGACCTCACCAGATGGAGTACACAGGAATCAAATCGATTACATCTGTGGAAACAGTCGATGGAGAAGCTCAATATCATCAGTCAGAACTAGGCTAGTGACTGACCGCGGAACAGACCATCAGTTGCTCATATGCCAGTTGAAGGTGAAGCAGGAGAAAATTAGAAGAGATCCATGAGAACCAAAGTACGACCTTGACTATATCCCACCTGAATTTAGAGACCATCTCAAGAATAGATTTGACACATTGATCACTAAAGACTGAAGACCAGATGAGTTGTGGAATGACATCAAGGACATCATACATGAAGAACGCAAGAGGTCATTAAAAAGACAGGAAAGAAAGAAAAGACCAAAATGAATGTCAGAAGAGACTCTGAAACTTGCTCTTGAATGTCGTCTACATAGTAGGCAGCTAAAAATGGATGAAATCTCTATTCGACTTAGCTACGAAGCTAATTCATCAGTGTTTAAGCCTTCTCACTAAGTAGACTCATGTTTTAGAATTGCTATATCCATTCTTTATTCATGCTGATAACTACTTTTGTCAATCTTTTATCCCTAGTGAGAAAAAACTTGACTTTCATTTATTATATATTTATTTCATGATGGAATGTCAGGTGCCTTCCCTTAATAGGCTCAGGTTAATTTAACATACAAAAATTATTTTTTAACTCGACTAACTCAGCAGGCTTGCTTTTTTCTAGTATATTGCTTAATGGAATGCTGTGTAATAAAAACAAAGTAAAAATTATGATTATGAAAGTAATAATGGTTCATTGAAGAAAGTTTGGAAAATAAAGATTAAGATGAAGAATTCAGAAATCGAGGGGTACAACAATTTGTTTTAAGAACACCGGAGCATGCAGAGTTTCTCTGCACTAGGATATTGCAAAGATAATTTCTTGGACATCAAGTTTCTACTATTAGGGATGACTATTTTATTAGTTTGTATTTAGGTACTTAGAGCCAAAACTCATGGGAAAAAAAAATTGGGTAAGTAAATTTTGATAAGAGAATATACCTTTTAATGTGCTAAATCAGAACTCTCCAATAAAACTTTATTCGACGGTGGAAATATTTTATATCTGAGCTGTCCAATAAGGTAGCCACTATCCACATGTGGCTATTAAGCACTTGAATTATAGCTAGTGCGACTAAGTAACTGGAATTTTTTAAAACATAATTTTATTTAAATTTAAATACAAATAACTACATGTGGCTATGGCTATCATTTTGGATAATGCAGTTCTAAATCAAAGAATCAAAATACGCTTTGTCATCTTACAATTCTGATCATAGATATGCTTATAAATACCTTTAATTAAAATAGCTTCCAAACTAGGATACTTTCCCCTTAATCAGTAATATTTTCTAATTGTTGATAATTATGGTTTTTAGTTCTTCTTCGTTGCTTGGAAGTTCATTATAAGTCTTTTTTTTTGTAGGAAGAAGATCGAAAACTGTTAGTTGGATTCTTAGAAGATGTCATGACTCTGCTTTCATTATCTCATGCTCCTCTTGATAGCCTGAAGGCTTCTTTTGTGGAACTGGGGTAAAAATAACCACTTACAGTTTTTTTTAAAGATATATAAAGTTTATAAATTGGAATTATAGAGTACATATTTTAAGTCTAGAAGGATTGACATATATGCCAAATCTCTAGGTTTTGAGACTTAAGATGGTTTTTGATTTTGCTTATTTGTATATTGTTGATATTCTGGAATCGATACATTATAATTAAAAAGTGGGGGAAAGGGCACAGACATATTTTCTTTGACTTATTTGGAGAAATAAAATCAAGTATAAATTTGAAGAAAATATAGTTTCCCAGACTGAAAAAGGAGCCCAAGGTGAAACCCAGCTCATTGGACTCCTTTTTCTTCTTTAATTTGCTTACTCCTGCTCATAATCACATCATCTGGCTGCTGAAGTAGTTTTTATTTCCATCTTTACTGAAAGCAGACCCATGCATTTACTAATAATGCCATCTGACTTTTGAATAGGCTTCACAGCCAACAGACCCGTCCTTGTAGATGATTCGAGCTGATTTTATTTGATCTTAACAATAACCGTATGACATAACTAGGATGTGTATTGCTTTGTATAGATGCAGAAACTAAGGCCCATAATGGTTGTAACTTACCCATCTGACTCTTAGTCCAGTGCTCTTTCCCTTTTTACCATAGAAGAATTTTATTTTTCTTTCTTTTTTTTGTAGTTTTAACTTTTATGCTGTTACAGTTGAAATTTCTATCACAATTGTAAATGCTTAGAGAAACTAAAAGTGTAATTTCTTAATATGCTGAATATATTTATGGTTTTACAGTGACTTGCTTTTTTTAAAAAATCTTATATTTGACCTATTAAACCACACAGAGCAATTCCATATGTTTATCAATATTTTTATGATTAATAATCATTCTAAATATCATAGTATTTTTCAGTACACCACTAAGATATTGTAGCTCTGATTTTTAACATCGGTTTTTTTTCCTTTCAGTGCAAACCCTGCCTATCATGAATTACTGTTAACGGTTTTGTGGTACGGTGTTGTCCATACTTCAGCACTTGTGAGGTGTACTGCTGCTAGAATGTTTGAGGTATGTAAACAAATGCCTCTGTTGGTTCAGATTATAATGATTTTCTTTGGAAGAGGGAGAGGGAATGTTAAAGAAAAAAAAAAAGTACTTTACCTACCATTTTATGTTGAAGTATATTTTATGGCATTGAACAGTGTCTAGTTGTGTACTGTGTGATGGGGCAGAAGTTTAATAATTTAGCTTTTACATATTTAAGAATGCTTTCTAGCCTTATTGGTTCCTGAATGTTATTCTATTATCATTTCCATTTCTCAAATTCTCTTTTAATTTTCATCTTATGTAAATCTCTGTGACTATACTTTTCTGTTTACTGAGGTATATAGTAATAAACCAAAACAATATAGGGTATCTTTCAAGTTGTAAAATATAATTGGATTCATGAGTAGTATTTAAAAAGCAATTACTGTGTAATTACAAAAATATTTATTTTATTGACTTATACTACCTACTTTGCTATTCCCTCGCATATCATATCTGGAATAACATCTCTATACATTAACTGCCTATAGCCTTATAAGAGAGAGGAGACTGTCCGTATAATTTACATAAATGTTCTTAAATTGCCACTTACACAAGATAAGTATAAAAATACCTATCTTTTGTACCCATCGTATAGGAAATTAAGTCATAGCCAAGTATACTATTTAATGTATGCATATTTTTAGAACTTTTATTTGAGCAATAAATTGGTTTAGAGCATTTCTTGTTATCGAGTCATACCCTAGAGCCAGACTGCCTGGGTTCAGTTTCCATTGCTACCACTTGGTATCTTTATAAATTACTTAGATAAGTTCTAACTTCTCCATGACTTAGTTTCCTTATCTACAAAATGAAGATGATAATAATAATAATAAGTACTCATTGCAAAGAATTTTGTTAGTGTTAAATGAATTAATATTTGTAAAGCCCTTAAAACAGTATCTGGCATATAATTAGAGCTTAATAAATGTTAACTATTCTTATCAATATTGGGGACTCTCTTCATCCGTGCTGTTACTTCACAAAATGATAGAATAGAGAACATAGTTGGGGACCATCTAGCTCAATTGGCATAACATAGTTTATAAAGAAAATGTCCTACATCTTACTTTTGTGAGTAGCTTCTGGGGTCTTAAAAGCTCATGAGTGGCCATCTGAGATATATTTATTGGTGTCAACCCATCCGGAGCAAAAGAGAATGAAGAAAACCAAAGACAGGAGGAAAAGATGAGTCCGAAGGACTGATGGACCGCAAGTACCACGGCCTCCACCAGACTGAGTCCAGCACAACAAGATGGTGCCCGGCTACCACCACTGACTGCTCTGACAGGGATTACAGTAGAGGGTCCTGGACAGAGCTGGAGAAAAATGTAGAACAAAATTCTAACTCACAAAAAAAGACCAGACTTACTGGTCTGACAGAGACTGGAGAAACCCCAAGAGTATGGCCCCCGGACTCCCTTTTAACTCAGTACTGAAGTCACTCCTGAGGGTCACCCTTCAGCCAAAGATTAGACAGGCACATAAAAGAAAATAAGATTAAATGGGCTCACTAGCCCAGGGGCAAGGACAAGAAGGCAGGAGGAGACAGGAAGACTAGTAACGGGGAACCCAAGGTCGAGAAGGGGAGAGTGTTGACGTGTTGTAGGGTTGGCAACCAATGTCACAAAACAATATGTGTATTAATTATTTAATGAGAAACTAATTTGCTCTGTAAAATACATCTAAAATACAGTAATACACAAATAAATAAAATCATGAAAAAAAAAAAATAGGGAACATATACTTATCCAGACTAAAACTGTCCATAATATGCATGTGATTCTTAAAATATCTTAAAACTTCTTTTCTATAAGAAGAATTAGGTAATTTAGTTTTTTCCTGAATTTCAGAATTTCTCCACAAGTTAAGATAAATTGCAATTGGAAGGATAGGTTATTGTTGTTAGGTGCTGTCAAGTTGTTTATGACTCACAGTGACCTTATGTACAACAGAACAAAACACTGCTTGGTCCTGCACCATCCTCATGATCATTGTTATGCTTGAGCCCATTGTTGCAGCCACTGAGGGTCTTCCTCTCCTTCGCTGACCGTCCTCTTTATCAAGCACGATATCCTTCTCTAGGGACTGGTCCCCTGATAACATGTCCAAAGTATGTGAAATGAAGTCTTGCCATCCTAGCTTCTAAAAAGCATTATGGCTATACTTCTTCCAAGACAGATTTGTTCATTCTTTTGGCAGTCCATGGTATATCCAACATTCTTCGCCAACACCATAACTCAAAGGC